TAGGGTTTGGGTTTAGGGTTATGGTAGAGGGCTAGGGTTAGGGTTAGGTGTTAGCATTAGTGCTAGGGTTTGCGTTAGGTTTAGGGTTAAGGATAGGTCTAGGTCTAGGTGTTGGGTTAGGGTTAGGTGTTAGGGGTGTGGATTAGGGGTTATTGTTAGGGTTAGTGGTAGAGTGTCATGGTTAGGGTTTGGGTTAGTTTTTGGTTTATTGTTTTAGGGTTAGCGGGTATAGTTAGAGCATTTAGGTTAGGGTTTTCGGGTTAGAGTTATAGGGTGAGGGTTAGTGTGTTAGGCTTAATGTTAGGATTAGTTTGGATCATTTGTAGCTTTATGGTTAGTTCGTGTTTGGTTTAGGGGTTGGAATAGGTTCAGGGTTTAGCATTAGGGTTATGTTTGTGGTGTTCATGTGTGGGCACTGCCCTCCATCTGGGAGGGTTTGTGTTCATGTTTTTGTCCCAGTCTCTCTGCACTGGGGGTTGTTCTCACTTCGGCCCATTCTATCTTGGTTCTGGATTGTTTCCCATGTCGGCCCACTGAGTCTCAGTGTGGTAAGATTTCACGTACCCCACACCGTCTTTTTGGTGCATGGGGTGCGTTCACACATGCGACCCTCCACATCCTCTGCATGCGTGGGTATCTTCCATGCGCCTCGCCACTCCTTAGATTGGGGTTAATGATGCCTGTATTAAATACGATGTTTCATGAATGGCTCAGTTCACTTTCACTTCTGAAGAAGCAGGCATCTCTTAAGGTAAGGGTTGTGGTTAGGATTAATATTAGGGTAAGTGTAAGGTTTCGGTCATGGTCAGAATCCCCCCTTGGTGCGGGATGGCTTCATGAATGTGCCCCTTCTTCTCCCCTTTATCTGCAATGTAGTGGTGATATTCCTTTTAAATCAGATGTTTTCTTTGGCGCCTGTTGGCTCGTTGGGTGAATCGTCCCACTTCGTCTTTGGTCAGGTTTCTCTGTTTCTGGTTTTGAGCCCTGGGTGGCCTCTGTGCTGATGGCTCTGAATCTGGAGCCTGCTTCCAGATACTGTCTGTATTTCTCTCTCTGCCCCTTCCCCACTTGTGTTCTGTCTTTGTCTCTTTCAAAAATTAATGTACCTAATAGCATTTTCAATCAGGCATTTCTTGGATGGCTCTTTTCACTTTCATTCCTGAAGAAGCAGGCATCTGTCTCATCCATTGTTCTTTTGTTATCTTTGGCATGCATGGGTGACGACATATACGACATTTCCCCAGCCAGCATCGGGGATGTGCAGCATTTCCTCTACCAGCCGGACACCTCTCATCCACTGTAACACTGCATTCCTCTAGCGCATCCCACATGCTCCTGGAAACTGGACTATGACTGTGGACGGTAGCACCGTCCCATAGTCTTCTGATGGTATTTCAGGAGGCTCTTCATTCACATCTTTGGTTACCTGAGTGTCTTCTGGCATCTTCTCTCATTTTTCCACTAGGCCGCTGCTACGACGCCCAGCAGGGAGCCCAAAGCAAAGAGGGATTCAGGAGCAGCCCAGCTACTGCTTGGTTCCCACAAAATGGTCACCTTGGAACTCTTTATGGAAGAGGAGAAAACACCACCACCACCACCACCGCTGTTTCATAACCCTGCACTGAATGTGGACACAGCAACCAACCACCCCCAGAAGGAAACTCTGCCAGGGTACATGTATCAAACCTATGGCATCGGTCAGGTATTTTGGATCAGTAAGTGAGGTTGTACTTTTGACTGGTAAGTGTACATCTAGATCCCTCGGAGGGGATTTTCTTCTCCGAGGTCACTCCAACCTGAATTGTTGGCCCATGGGGACATGTGTTGTCCCTATTGGTTGTATTGATGTAGTCTCTTTGGGCCAGTGAAATAAAGCTCCATAGGGTCTTGTCCTTTTCCCACCTCTTCATGGGAAGGTCCATTTCACTGATGGGAAGAGACAGTAAAACCCTTGTGTGGCCATTCATACGAGTCACTATTTAGGGAACAAGTGATTATGCTCCTTTGCACGGTCAGGAGACCACTGCCGTTTCACGAATGTCCCTGGGCAGGCAGGGCCTCTAAAACTAGAAATGCGAGAGGTTATTTTACTGTTAAACAGGTGGGGTTTATATTCACTGACTTCCTTTTCTTTTCATCTTTCCTTGATTGCCTATCTGTGTTTGGTCAACAATTGGTTTGATATTGACTTTACAGTTAGGTTATTTTTATCTTATTGTTAACTATCCATGGTTATCCACTCTGATAGAAGCTTATGCAAGTACAAATATTTCTTGTTGCACATACTAGCATTATTGCTTCTATTGCGAAATTCACCCAGTCTTAACTTAGGAGTTGGTTGTCTATTTTTGATACTCAGATCTTAAGATCATATACCAGTGCCTGAGCCCTACTACGAATGTTCATTGCTGCATCACTAACAGTGATTCACCTACAGTACGTGAATCATATTTTTCGACCTTCAAGGACAGCCTTGATACCCCCACATCGGCAATGCAGGGGTCTGACACTTGCAGCCCTTCTGTGGCCATGTAGATACGTCACGCCTGTGCCCCTTCCTGGGCCCTGTAGGGGCGAGCCACCTGTGCCCCTTCATGGTCTATGTAGGGGTGTGCCACCATCACACATGTGTGCCACACATGGCCACTATAGTGTTTGTACTAGCTGTGCTTTCCGGGACCCACCTGGGGTCTCCGGACATATCCCCATGGATAACAGGGAGCTTCTGTAGTCGTGTTCCTCTGCATTACATCTCCCCACAAGACCCTTATCTCCAGATAAATATTACAAGATCAGGAGCCACTTTTTGTGTGCTTTCTTGTTAGTGGAAACATCTTGCCTTTGCTTAGCACAGCTACTTTGCCCTCTCCACCATCTCCTGGAGGTTCCCTTACCCTTGCACTGCTCTTCACTCACTGCTTTTGGGCGTGCTGTCTGCCTCCTGTCACAGTCCTGCACCAATGGTAATTTGTACCATGAGTGGCCACAGGAAACCGCTTGGAACTGGGACTCTGTGACTGGACTGCTCTTCCAGTAGAAGACATACAAGTAGCTTCCTTTATGGCAGAATTGGATACTGGTCATTGGTGGTAAGAGGTGATTTCACATTTGCTCACTTTACCACTAGTGCTGGTGCGGAGTGATGGAGGACAGCACGCTGGAGTATCGCAGGTGGAATTGTCACTGTGGCCATGGGGGCAGTTACAGAGCCTGTCCAGGGTCAGTTTTGGGTGTCTGGAGTATACGCAGGAAATAGGAGAGGTTGAAAGCAAGAGAAGAACACCAGAAAACGTATGACTTCATGAGGTGAGTATCTTGTGTTTGTTGCCAAGAGAAGCAGCTCCCCCTGTGTGAGGAAAATAGTCTTATCCCACCCCCAGGACCCCTAGAGGAAAGGTTTCAGTGGCTGCACCTAAGACAATACTGTCATGACTGAGAGCAGTGGTCTTCAGGCTCCACATCTACCATCTGTGTTTACTTCCTGGAAAATAGCGGGATTCCAGTGTACTCCAAACGGAGGTGTGGGATCAGGTCCGCGCATGATCAGGTGTCCATGCAGGGGAGTTGCAGGATATTACCACTTCGCACTGGTAGGAGATGGGGGGACGAGTATGGGAGTGGGTTCAAAGAGTATTACAGCAAAGAGGGTGACATACGATAGGCCAGACATGGATACACGGTTCTTCCTGCGGGAAATGTAATTCATTGTGTTGCCTGGAGAACTGGAAATGGTCATAATAATGACTCAATGGCTGCCTGCAGTCAACTGGGTTGAAATGCCAGAGCTTCCCTGACTTTCTCAGGGAAGAAAGACTCCAGAGTCCGAGGGAGATGGGAATGGGGACCTGTTGTGTGCACACCTGCTCTTTTACCACAAACTTGGTGGCTTATGAGAACAAAATCATGTTCTCTCACAGTTCTGGAGGCCAGGAACCCAAAATTCGCTTCACTGAGACTTAGGTGTCAGTAGGGCTGTACTCCCTCTGGAGGCCCCAGAGCTCCAGGGACAGTGTATCCCTTCCCTCTGGTAACTCCTGGTGGCCACCAACCTCCCTTGGCTTGTGACCACATAACCGCAGTCTGTCTCCATGGGCACAGTGCCTCGTCTTTTGTCAAGTCTCCCATTGCCTCTCTAAGGATGCTCATGATTCCATCTAGGGCTCACTCAGACAACTCAGAACTCAAGATCCTTAACTAGATCCCATCTATGGGAGTTAGACTCCAGGTATTAGGACTTGCTTTCTTTGAGGTCCATTGCCCAGCCTAGTACAACGTGTCCTTCCATAGGGAGACAGCCAAACCATGCTATCCCCGTGTGGTGGGGTGCTCACCAGTGAGCTTTGCCAGGGCACGCACTGCCAACAGACACTGCCGCAGGACTGAATCTCCGGAGAATTATGCTCAGAGGGAAAAAGCGAATCCTAAGAAGATCACATGCTTTTCGATTCCATTTGTATAATATTCTCAACGTGACAAAATCATAGCAATGCAGAATGGATGAGGGATTGCCAGGCATCATAGAGGTGATGGGTGCAGGAAGGAGGTGGAAATGTCTGCTGTAAGAGCACAACATGGGAGTCCCTATGGAGGGCTTGATGCTCTGTTTCTCCTGTGCATCAGTATTGAAATGCTGGCCATGATCTTGTTCTACAGGCTGAGAGAACGTAGGGCATATTTATCATGTTTCCCAATCACAGACCGTCCCAGCAACCTCACAGCCGCCCACCTTGCTACATCTATCCCCACGGTTCTGGCTGGTGTCCCGTTGCCACAGTTGAGTCGTGTTCCTAAGGGAGGAAGCCATCTCTTGCCAATACGCCTCCCACACCGCTTCCCTCTCTCTTGCACACTGGGGGTTTCCTTGGGACCTGGCCATCTTGTGCACTCACAGCTGTTTCTCCCAGCCCAGAGGGAGCAATCACTTCCCATCCAGCACTGCCTGTTTTGTCTTCCTACGCCTAGAATTACACGAGCTGGTGCCTGCAGACCTTCCTTCATTGTCTCTGTCAGCTGAGTCTGAGTGGGCTTCCTCTCCCACTCGTCCCTAGTTCTCATCTCATTAATGAATGACACTCACATCGCTGAAGCTCACAGTGAAGTCTCAACCCCCAGTATGTTGACTACGTGGCACCATTTTACAGACACATATGATTACTTCCTTTCTTTAAAAATTACTTCCTTTCTCCTCCCACCATCCGGGCGCTGCTCACCAGTGTCTGTGTTGGTTGGTCCTCATCTTCTTCCTCCCCACCCCCCCATCTGCTTTCTGCCTGTCCTTACTCTGGGGTGACCTCCCCCAGCCTCAGGCTTCTGTATACCAGCAGCTGGAGCCTCCGAGTCGTTATGCCCTGCCCCCAGCTCTTCATGTCTCCAGACGCCTGACTCCCAACTGTGTACCACACAGGTGCTACCCTCCCCAGCCTCTGCCACCTCCCTGAGGCCTCTCCTCTTCCCCTCCCCTTGTTTACTGGGATGCAGCCACACTGACCCCTCCTTGCTCCCTGAGCATGTCAGGCACATACTCCTGCTTCAGGTCTTTGCACTCACTTTGCCTCTCTTTGTCCAGAATGTTCTCCCACATGCCAACATGACATACCCCGTCATTTTCGTCATATCTTTGCTCTGACATCACCTGCCCAGTGGAGTCTTTTCTAGCTCTCTATCTAAAACTGAAAACTGCTCCTTCTCCGACCTGAACACCCAGTATCCCTTCCCCGCATTCTTTTTCTTCCCGGCCGTTGGCATCAGCTGGTTTTCTTTCTTGCTTGCTGTCTGTTGCCTGCTGCAGTCCCTGCCAGAATGTTGGCTCCATGGGGTCCAAGGCCAAAGCAGCTTTGTTTAGGGCTGGTTCCTTAGGGCCCTGGAACAGTGCCTGACTCCCTCAAAGGCTCAAACACCATTCACTGAGCGAGTAAATGTTGGGATTTCGTCTTAATTTGCTGAGTCTGCCATCACAAAGTACCACAGACTGGGTGGCTTAAGCAACAGAAATTGATTTATTTATTTTCTCACATTTTAGATCAAGGTGTGGCCAGGGTGGGTCTGCTCTCTCCCTGACTGGTGAACGACCACATTCCCACTGTCTTCAGGTGGCCTGCCTTCTGTGTGTGTAGGTGCCCACTCTCTTCCTATAGGACACCAGTTATCAGAGTAGGGTCCCTCCGCCAAATGAGCTCATTCGACTTCCACTTTACCTTTCAAGATCTGGTATCCATGTATAATCACATGGGTAGTTAGGACTTCAGCATGTGGATTTTGGGGGCAAATCCATTCCATAACAGGTTTCTGTCTGTTGTACCTAGTAACTACCTACATGGGTTTTTTTTCCCTTTATGCCCTTGTCCCCATTATTTGCTCACCCAGTGCTAATCCCAGTTTGCCCTTAGCCCAAGTTATAACTCTGTTTATTTATTTGTATAGGCTTACGTCTTCCCTCTACGTCTATAGTCCAAGTTCGTGGATGGCACTGGAATTACATCCTTAGCATGCACATCATAACCTCCAGGTGAGGTAAGTATGATTAGTCTCATTTCTAAAATCTACAATCTGAAGCTTAAAAGAGAGTAGGTCATGTTTCTGAGATCACAGTACTAGTAAGTGCTGTCCTTTTGATAACTTTGTTCTCGTGGGCTCCAAAGCCCACTTTCTTTCATCTACCACACTGTCCCCAAGATGAACAGGGAAAAGCCATACTTCAGCCTGATATATTATAAGCAATGGTACCTGTATGGCTGGTGTCACATTTCAGGAAATGGGATTAAGTTTAGAATCTGAGTAATGATACCCACAGGTTGAATTTCAAAGTCACATCCTTTTATTTATTTATTTTTTTAACTGCTGCAATTTCTGTTATCCTTAATGATTTTCTAAATGTATTCTTCCCTTTGCAAAATTTAGCAACTAAGGATAGTAAGAGTTTGTTTCCTTTGTAAGAGGTCAGAATTATACAATGAATTCATAATGTCAAGGCAATAGCTGTTATTTTATCCTAACATATAGAGGAAAGGGTCATTGCCTTTATTCTAAGAGTTTACCATGTGTTCTTGATAACATGCCTGAGTTCTATTGGTGAAAACCTGTCGTAGACTTTGAAAGTCAGTTATTTATAGTTAAGAGAGTATCGTTCTCTCTTTGGGTGCCGCTGATTGTTTGAAATAGATCTTAGGATTTTTTCTCCATAGATTTTATATTTCAGAATGAGCTTTGTTTTAAAAAGTATGTTATATATGCATTCATGCAAGCTGTGCAATCATTAAATTGACAGGAAAGCAGCTGTTAGTAGTTGTCATTTGGACATGTGGATGGAAATGCTATAGGTCATCGTGTGACTCCTTACATGTGTTGAATTCTGGTTTCATTTGGCATTTCCAAACCATTGCCCTGAGCTTATGGATGTTGATCAAGTGGCCATGTAATGGTTGTTTTAAATTCATATCAGGGGTGTAGAGATGATTCTTACATTGTGTATGAGGAAGCTGTTGGTTTTCTGCTTCTATGTCTGTGTAGCTCCTAAAAAATAGAAGACTGGGGTATCTTACTGACATTAATTTTGTTCAAAGTAAATGCACCTTGTGAATTTGCTAAAGGCTTAGATAATAGTCAATACTTTTGGAGTCTGATACTAATTTGCGAGTTTACAATAGGTCTAGGGACATCTGTGTGGCTCAGTTGGTTAAGCGTCTGACTTCAGCTCAGGTCATGATCTCACTGCTCATGACTTGGAGCTTTGTGTTGGGCTCTGTGCTGGCAGCTGGGAGCCTGGAGCCTGAAGCCTGTTTCAGATTCTGTGTCTCCCTCTCTCTGCTCCTCCCCGGCTCATTCTCTGTCTCTCTCAAATATAAACTAAAACATAGAAATTAGGTCTAGAATAAATCTGTAGACAGTAATATACTTATAATGACTGCTGATTAAAACAAAGAAATAGCCTGAATCTCCAAGCATAAATTACTGTTGTTTCCCTAGGAACCCATTATATATCATGTTGAGGATTAAGCTGAATAATAGCATTAATCTTTTAGTAACTTGGAAGAGATAAGCATACTATGTTGGCTACATATAGGGTATATATAAGGGTATATATGTATAGGGTATATATATAAGGTTTGGTGTATATCATTGTGGTAGACCTATTTTCTTTAATGATCAAAAAATTAATTTGAGGTCTTTTTTATTTGGGTATTCAGCATTAAGATAAGTAACTCAAGGCAAATGTATTAAGACCATTTTAGAACTCAGGTGGACTTAAAGAGCCAGAGACTGGAGTCATGATAAAGATAGTTTGAACATTCCAGCAATAAAAAAAATTACAGCTCCTGGATGGCAGTCATCATATTGGAGGAGAGTTTCTGGGGTTCCCTATACAAATGGTACATGATTTTGAGTCAAGAATACAGCCTCACTGACTGTACTTTTACCGAAATGATGGTTCAGATACCAAAAATGTCTGTTGGAATTGTCAGTTGCAAAACTGATATCCTTTCAGTTTTTGGCTTGATTAATTTACTAAAGAGAAAAAAGTGTTTCCCTCTTTCGGAAGCATAATCTCATTTGTATTTAGAATTATCATTAAACATAGTATTTCTAAAAATAGTTAATAAGTTGGAAGTCAACATAAATTTGTTTGTGAAGTTATCAAATGGAAACCTTTTCCCAAAGCAGTTATTTTACATTTTATAGGAAAACTAGTCTTTTATGTCCTTACTATATTTATGTTATATCCTATTCACTTTTGTTTCATGCTATTTGTGTGTGTGTGTGTGTGTGTGTGTGTGTGCGCGTGTGTGCGTGTGTGTTTTTGTGCGTGTGTGTGACTAAGTGAAATGTGCAATATTTGGTCATTTAAAAAGTTTCACTAATTTAGGCAAAGTCAGCCAGAAACAAATGCAATACATTATGTCCATTGTAATCAAGCAGACTTTTAATCATGTGTAATAGTTGATTTATCTCAAGTGAATTTTCTTTCCTCTTTTCTTTTCTTTTTATCAAGCCAAGTCATAGGAGAATATTTTCTTTCTGCTAACCTTGAAGCAGGGCAAGAGCAGATTTGTGTCAGAGCACATTGTCTGTATTTATGAGAAACTAGGGAAATTAAGAAATCCACTTAGTTACAAAGCTTAGTGGGGACTCATGACTGACTTGGAGTTTTCAATGATATTCTGTTGGGATGTGTTTTATTTACTGGGTTAGTTTTTTTTTTTTTAATTTTTACTTAATTTATTTTTTTAATTTACATCCAAATTAGTTAGCATAACGTGCAAAAATGATCTCAGGAGTAGATTCCTTAATGCCCCTTACCCATTTAGTACATCACCCCTCCCACAGTCCCTCCAATAACCCTCTGTTTGTTCTCCACATTTAAGAGTTTCTTATGTTTTTGTCCCCCTCCCTATTTTTGTATTTTTTTTGCTTCGCTTTCCTTATGTTCACCTGTTTTGTATCTTAAAGTCCTCATATGAGTGAGATCCTGTGATATTTATCTTTCTCTGACTAATTTCGCTTAGAATAATATCCTCTAATTCCATCCACATAGTTTTAAATAGCAAGAATTCATTCTTTTTGATTGCTGAGTAATACTCCATGGTGTGTGTGTGTGTATACACACACACACACACACACACACACATATATGTACCACATCTTCTTTATCCATCCATCCATCGATGGACATTTGGGCTTTTTCCATACTAGCTATTGTTGATAGTGCTGCTATAAACTTTGGGCTTCATGTGTCCCTTCAAAATAGCATATCTGTATCCCTTGGATAAATAACTAGTAGTGCAACTTCTGGGTTGTAAGGTAGTCCTCTTTTTCATTTTTTGAGGAACCTACATACTGTTTTCCAGAGTGGCTACACCAGTTTGCATTCCCACCAGCAGTGCGTGCAGGAGTTCCTCTTTCTCCACCTGCTTGCCAACATCTGTTCTTGCCTGAGTTGTTAATGTTAGCCATTCTCAGAGGGGTGAGGGGGTATCTCAGTGTGGTTTTGGTTTGTGTTTCCCTGATGATGAGTGATATTGAGCATTTTTTCATGTGTCAGTTGGCCATCTGGATGTCGTCCTTGGAGAAGTGTTTGCTCATGTCTTTGCCCATTTCTTCACTGGATTACTTGTCTTTTGGGTGTTTAGTTTGATAAGTTCTTTATAGATTTTGGATACTAACCCTTTATCTCATATGTCATTTGCAAACATCTT